GTATATATATCTAACATGAAAGAGTTATGAAGAAAAAACTTTTACATATAAAATCAAGAGTAAATTTAATGATTGAAATTTGTATAAACTGCTAGATAACTCTAATTTTACCCTCTAATGTAGAAATTCTTGACTCATTAAATCTATTGAGAGACTATCTAAAATTCTCTCATAAAATTATTTTGGAAAACTTCCTAATATATACAATTTAGATCCAAATTTAGTCATAACCCATCTTAACATAGTAGATCGAAATTCAATTTCTTGAAAAAATGCTATCTTTTATAGAAATCAATTAAGATGATATCAAACATATAGCCTCACGAAATTATAACAACAATCAAAGGAAAAATATAATTTTCCATTTCCATTTTGAAATGCAAATACATAAACAAAATGGTAAGAATTATATCTCTCACAAAAAAATATAGCAAAAAACGATCAATCTTGAATGAATTAAAATCCAATTATAAGATATCTAACTCTAGATTATTAAAACTAACAAAAAATAACAATTGAAAATTAGTAAAGATACACAAATATGCGTACCTGTTCAATTGTCTCAAAAGGGGATGAATTAGAGCTATTCATTTTGTTTCTTCCAATTTTCTCCTCTCTAGAGTGTATCAATTTTCTGATAATAGTATTTGAAGAAGACACATAAAACTACTAATAGGATTTGATAGCTAATCTGTTTTTCCCTTGAAGTGTACTTAGTTGGCGAGACAACAATTGAAGTAATGTAGACAAATTTTTTAGTCAAATAAAATTTTGTTTAGAAGAACATTAGGTCAAAGTCAAATAAAATTTTGTTTAGAAGAACAGAAGGTCAAACGAGCCCCCAATTTTCTAACTGTCCGTTATATTTCAAAGAGACAATATAATGGAGAAATATTTGATGAGTTGGGACATTTATTCCAGTTTTACCCTTAAATGAGAGGCGAAGGATCCAAGGAAGATTTCGATAGAACCCAGTGTTTTTTAGGTCAAATTACATGTATGTAATGGACATTATTGTCATTTCATTTTGCTTGCCAAATAGTGTGAACATAGAAATGTTTTGTAACTCTATGAACTTTTCCCTTGTCTATTCTAGTCCATTTTATTTTTTTTCGTCAAACAATCCTATATGTGAAGTCAAAGTTTCTCCAAGTAAGGGGGTTGTACACATTTATGATTTTACCATGTATGAGGTAATCAGATTTAGTAAATTTGAAATCAAGGAAAATTATTAATTGTGTGTGTCCATTTTGATTTTACTTAAAAAGAAAAAAATCAAAGGAAAAGTTAATTAATTTGTCTAGGCTACCTCATAAGACAAGTTCCCCATTCATTCAATGTGGGACACACAAAATCATAACATAACATCATTTTTTGTCAATTCAAAATTAATTAAGAATTAACTTACCAAATCCATCAACAAGCAAAGTGTACTCATATACCAAGTCCATGCATATAAAAGGTATGTTTCTCTAATCAATATTAGGAAATACTGATTTTATGTCTTTCACTTTGGTGTTGCAAGCAAGCTTTGCAGCATGTAGGTATTGTATTGGTTTAGCTCTTCCAGAAGGCTTTTTGGGATCAATGATACCAACCTGTACAAATGCACAATTAATAAAAGTACAATCTTATTAATTTTTTGAAAAAGAAATGATACCAAATTGGACAAGTTAAATAATGTGGGTATCATTGCTGCATAATCATAGAAGAAAGAAGAAGCATAGAGATTTTTGAATCCTTGTCCACCTCCACCATTCCAAATCCCACCAAATGTACACTTTTTGTGCTTGCATGGTGCCTTAATTTTGAGTGCTTTTTTTAGCTAATGTCCTACATTGAAGCTTGAACCATGTTTTGGTGATGATGCTTTGTAAGCCACTCCATTGTAAGTGTAATAACCTTTAATTAACCAAATCATAATTAATAAAAGTTGTACTAACAATTAAGGGATTAGAGAGCATTAACCTTACCATTAAACCTCCCAAACATTTTTCGTAACTTTTCAATAGTGTGTTAAACAATGCGATCATGGAAGAAGAGGCAAAGGAATTAGAATAAAAATTGAATTTAGATCTACTAATTAGTGGGACATTCTCACTAGCATCATTAGATAAAAGGGTACCTACGATTTAATGAAGACGAAAATATTATATTATCTTATGACGCCAATTTTACTAATTAAGTGATAATTGATAATTATTTATGTTTTAATTGACAGCATGAGCGTGACAATTTTAGTAATTATATTATGTTTTACATTGACAGCGTGAGCAATGACAAAACCATAAACATGTATATTACTTTTGCACTAATAATAATTAAACTTTGTTAATTTTGAAGTGACTTACCCAAAAATATGAACCTTCTTGTGTACCATCGAGGACTGAAACCCATTCCGCCTTGTAATTAAGAGTAGTTTCATTCTTAAATAAATCCCTCACCTTAACAATACATACAAAAAAATGAAAAATATCAATCAGAATAATAATGGAGGACAATATAATATTTCTCAAGATTTATTTTCTAAAATAATTCATCCATCCACTTTTATTTGTCATGTTCTATTTTTTGAAAATTAATTTAATTCATTTTCAAAGGTAAATTAGATTGCGTTAATTCGATGTTTTAAACAAAAAAGTTTACGTATTAAAATATTACTATACAAAAAGTAGTATCAATTGCAATTTTTTGCATATATATATCGTAAAATGTAAGTCAAAATTTCTATAATATGATTTTAAAAAAAAATCATGATAATTAAAAATGAACGAAAATAGTATATAATTAAAAATGAAGCTGATGTGTACCGCTTGCAATATTTTAACAGCAGCATCACCTTTTAATAACCTCAAACCAGCAGTTGCCTGTATTATTTATATTCATACACTAATACTTCATGTAATTAATTATGAAAATTAAAATTTTTAAGAGAAATTACCTTATTTAAGAAAAAGTTATAATGAAACAAAATTCTTCTAAATTGGAAAATGAATAAGAATTTAAATTTAGTTTACCCCAAGTTTAAGGGGTGTTTGAGGCTGCAAATCTTTTGGAACCACGGATTCAGCTTTGTCCAAAAGAGGTTTTAGAGAAAGGGCTCCAGCTTTAGGATTATTTGCGTAGGAACTTAGATCTAGATTTATCTGTCCAAAACAATTAATTATATTTAATAATTACGAGAATCACAAATATCAAAACATAAATATATATATATATATATATATATATATGCTACAAGATAAGGATAAAATAAAATTCAATTATGAAAGTAAAGTAGTACTACTATATAATATAGGGAAAAGGGTTTGAATACCCCTCAATTTTGTAATTTGGAGCTGATATACCCCTCGTTATAAAAGGGGCTCATATATGCCCTTACCATTATACAGACGGTTCACATATACCCCTGCTGTTATAAAATGACTCACATATACCCTTCATTTAACGAAAGTTAAAAAATTTATTTTAAATTTATATTTATTACTTCTAATCTTTTTTAAAAAATTATTTAGGGATATATATGATTCTTCTATCAAAGTTTAAGGTATATTTTAATTTTTTTCATACATAAATTATTTTAATTATTTGAGTTTCTTATTCTTATTTTGTTTTTTTCTTTCATTCTTTAGTTTAAAGAAAAAAAATTATAAACTATTTTTTTACTGTGTATTGTAATTTAATTTCGTATTCAAAGAAAAAA